GTTACTTACTATTATTATGTCGCCCCAAACGAAGTCGGGGACGACATATTGATATTTTACGCATATTTCTTTTTATCCAGGCTGTTTCTCGGAGATGGCTGGGACAATCTTCCTGAAACTTTCCTCAAAGGACAATCACTGGTTTCAGTTTTGCAGTGAGGTCGTTCAATTCCAATATGTCTACCGTTGCCATGGAAACCTGTAAAAAGCAACAAATTTTGTCCGCGAGTGTTCTCTCTGGTCCCTTAAACGTTCGTCATGAAACTTTTCTTATTTTAATGATTTGTATCTGTAGTTGTGGGATTCACATTAAAAATTTTCAAATAATCAATTATTGCCATGGAAACCAGGGGAAAGTTAAAATTTTCTAATTTCGATTTTCTCAATAACTACGCAAGTAATCGTTTTTAAACTTTCAATGTTTATTCCTCGCAATGTGTCAAAGTGATTTCTACTTTTAAAATTATTGTAATGAGTCGCTCACAGTTGCCATAACGAAACAGAAAATAAGGTTAAGATGTACGCATGTGTTCTCCAAGGTCTAGGTCGAAGGGTCAAAGTTCTTCGTATCCAATAAAAGTTCTTTCTTTTCACAATGATTACATATTTGAAATACGAAAGCCCTAGCCCTTACCGTTCAAACGTTATGGCTAAGGTACTATGTTCAAGACGAAACCCCTCCCCCTTTTGAAGCGCACAGCCAGGTAGAAAACACAGATATACCATATACAATTTACAAGTAACGTTTTAAAAGTTTCATTCATAAAATTCATTATTCATTCTCCTTCTGTTTTTTCTCTTGAATTTATAATTATTTTTTTTTTGTCTATATAAAAAAATATCGATTGTCAGCTGCATTTATTCCCAGATAGCAATACATAGTTAGGCCAACGTTGGCCTAATTTTTTTTTCCAACGTTGACCCACGGTAATTTTGCTCATCGTCCCAACGTTGGTCCAACATGTTGGCATATTGTTGGGCTAACGTAGGTATAATTGTATGACAACTAACAACCAACATTAATAACTGGTTAGGTAGGTTGGCCCAACGTTGGCCCTTTGTTGAAATTCAGATGGCATATTGTTGGGCCAACGTAATATCAGTGTATGTCAACTAACAACCAACCTTAACAACTGTTTGAACAGGGCTCACTTCCTTTTTTATAGTCCTTTTGTTGTATTCCCGCTCTTTTTCCGTCCCTTCCTCGCCTCCAGTTTTCTTCATCTTGATCTTTGTCATACGTACAAATACTTTATACACTTCTTTATGCATTGTCTTCGATTTCATTGTTATTTACATGTACCACCACAACATTTGTTTTCCTTGCAGTCTCTGACTGAATTTCTTTGTTACAATCGTGTCTGTAATAAACAGTTAAGAATTAGATAGATAGAAACAACTTAATTAAAAGATGTTATTTAATCTTAACTTACAGTGCTTGTGTGCAAAAGCATGACAAGAATGAATTCCGAATCAATTTTAACAGTTAACCTGAATAAATAAGAATGAATATACTTACATCGCTTCTAAATGCAGCAGTATAAAAAGTGTATAATCCACAAATTTAAATTTCACTTCTTTCTTGACCCGCATTATCACCACCTGTGAGCAATTGAATCTGACAGCTCATTCCACAGTTTGGTCACGTGAAAGCAAACGCCTAACTTTTGTTTCAATTTAATTATAAAGCTGTGTCATTTTGATTTATGTATATGTAGGCTTCATTCACATCCTGTTCCTGAGAATGTATTCAGTCTTCTCTAAATTCTCATAAATACAACGCTCATGAAAAAGATCATAATTTCAAGGGTTTTATTTCAAATAAATAATCATGCATGTGCGCAATTCAAAAAACACTCTTTGGTGCTGCTGTGATCACTTAAGTTAAAATTTAAAAGGTTGAATATATCAGATCTAAACAAAAACAGTCATCCAATTAAAAGCTTGGACATAGAATGTCAGCAGCTGAAATTTACACCATCTATAGATGACAGTATGGGCCAGCGTTGGTCCAATATAAATATCCCATCTTTGAAACACCTAAACAAAAGAACACTCGTGCTAACATCGGACCAACATACTACAATGTACCACCAAATTGATAAGACATTTTTTGGGGGTATATTACAAACAATGGGCCAATATACTACTACCAATTTGATAAGACACTTTCTTTAAGTGTGTATAACAAACATTGGGCCAACGTCGGGCCAACATACTACTACCAATTTGATAAGACACTTTATTAAGGATGTATTACAAACATTTAACCAACGTTAGGCTAACATACTACTATCAACTTGATAAGACACTGTTTTTAAAAGGGTGTATTACAAACACTGGGCCAACGTTGGGTCAACATACTACTACCAACTTTAAAAGACACTTTCTTTAAGAGTGTATTACAAACATCTGGCCAATGTTGGGCCAACATTCTACTAACAACTTTAAAAGACACTTTCTTTTAGGGTGTATTACAAACATTGGGCCTACAACTGTACGTTGCGCCAACATACTACTACCAACTTTAAAAGACATTTTCTTTAAGAGTGTATTACAAAGAGTGGGCCAACGTTAGGCCAACATCAACATCTCTCCTTCCGTGGGAAGTAAAGTGAATGGAATGTGCTAACGTTGGACCAATGTGGGGCAAACATAGGAATTCTGTCATGGTCGAGAAGGTTGGCATGGTGAAATTGGTCCAACGTTGGCCCGACGTTGTTCCCCCAACGCCAACCATACAACTTTTGCCAATGTTGGCCCAACATAGTCTTGCTATCTGGGTTATCATTTTGCGTTTTCTTGTATATCTATTACTTGTATATTATTCATTTCATTAGATAGTGCAAGTATAAATTAGAAAATTGGTACTTCATTTCCATAGTTTTTATTCATTCATAAATCCTTGGATCCGCTCCTGCAGGTGCACGAAGCCTTGATCACCACTGTATACAAAACATTCATCTCGCCGGAAATGTTCATGATTCCGCTAAACTGAGAAAATTTAGACATGATTTTTCATCTCATAACAAACATCAGCTCCGTGCAATGCAGAAATGCTCGAATTGAAGGTGGCATGTCAGATTCGTTTTCCGGCAGAACCTCTAAAATGAAAGTGAAAGTAGGAATATTTCAGAGTTCTCACTAGAGTTATTATACGCAAAATAATTTGGCTGATCTTCTTAATAAATTACACTTGCCAAGCTTTTTTGGTAGAAAATATACTGCCAATTAACAAGTATGAGGCTCAGTTCAGTACATCTGCCCAATTTTTTGTATGCATGTCTGCATATTTAGGAACTTGTAATTTTTTCCTGCACTATTTTCTTCTCCTACAGAATCTAAAATTAATTAAAGGGATGTACCCAATTAAGGTCTTCCGTTTCCAACGAAAAGGACTGATACGACTCGATGGTTGTCCAAGCTTAGCTAATGGACCATTGGTTTAGTGATGATAAAAATGAAAATCTTGTCCTGTACGGGGCGACATATGCTATTGCTTGCAATTTCAAACGTCCTAGTTCTTTTTTTCTTCGTATGTCTTCTCCGGTACTTTTTTGTCCGCAAGTGTTCTCAGTGACTGTTCACCCAACTAAGTTAAACTTTTTTACGGTTAATAGGTGAGTTGTGTAGGTGTGCTGAACGAAGGTCATTTTGCGCGCATATGCATGCACGTGTGGGCGCGTGAAGTGAGTGAAATGACTGTTATATTTAATTTAGCCATAACTTTTACATTTTTTATGAAATGCTTTGAAACTCATTGCATGAGGATATATTGATAGTGTTAATATAATGACACTGTCAAATTAGTACGAACTCACGCGCGTGCACGTGCGCTTTGCTCTGATTGACTGAAACTAAAATCTCATCTAGTTTGTTTTTTGAGGAAACCCTTTGAAATTTTGAAAATAGTCATGCATTAGGATATTCTACAATATGATATAGATTTTTTTTTCATGAAATCACGGGCATGCACATGTGCTGCAATCTGATTTGCTGAAACTTTGAATGGCTATATCTCCTTTATTTGTTGACAAACTGCTTTGAAATTTAAAACATAGTCATGCATTAGGGTAACTTACAATATGATCTAGAAAAAAATCTTGAAATCACGTGGATGCACGTGTGCTGCAATCTGATTGGCTGAAACTTGAAATGGCTATAATTCCCTTGGTTTTCAACCATGCAAACAAGATGGGATTTAGAACATAGATAGATATAAGGGCCTCCTACAAGAAGGTATGGTCATCATGCACGTACACGCACGTGCGTGCATTTGGCACGAGTGAAATTAAAAATACACTTGAATGAGTGATTTTTAATACTGTTTGACTAAATGCTTTCAGTATTTTTTAGTATATTTTAATATATAGACAAGATTATATGATCATTATGCACGTGCATTCACATGCATTCACATGGGCACGCGTGCAATGTTATAATTTGAATATAATTGCTATCCTTTTGGGAAAACGTTGTTAAAGTCAAAAATGCACAGATGTTGTCATATTTAATAAGGCTCACAGGGAATATGGCACCAAAAGGGAGTTGTGGAGCGTTTGGGGAACATCTGTAACGGTTCCCGTTACAATTAGCACTAGTTCATTGTTGTTTGCAGGCATATTTTAACAGTAAAGGTCACATGCTTGTAATGATCTTTGTCGTCTTGTATATCAGTCTTAGAAACTTTTAATGACAATACAGGATTAACATGTATTTGATTTTTTTCACATTACTAATTTTATGTTCAGCCACAAAGAAATTGTCTCTGCTATCTACACATAAACCCCATTGATCGTGTAAATCACAGTTACCAAATTGAATGTAATGAAGGAAATGCCCGTCCTGATCTAGGATGTGGATACAGTGGTTGCTAAGGTCTGCTGTCAGGATTTGACTCTGGCTGTCTGTTGTGATGCCGCATGGTTTAAATTCTCTTCTGGTAGCAGGTTGATCACCAATGTATCTAAATCGGAGTTTTCCTGCCTGATTGACAACAACTACTGCTTTGCCTGTATTGTCAGCCACACAGATATCCAGGTTCCTTTTCTCACTGATGTATTTACAGTAACCCGATAAAAAAGAGGTTTACCGTTGTCATCGAACTGAATGGACTGTTTTTCTGTGGAGATTCTTTTTGATTCTTTCTCATCATCACTGATCATGGTTACCAGAAGGTCATCAGAGGAGGTACTACAAACACAGAGCGCTTTCCATCCCTTTACTCTGATAACCTCCTGTATTTGTTGATTATTCACTATATTTACAGTTCTTTCACCATGAGCAGTGTAAACTAGATCTCCACTACTTGTCACTGCTATATCACGTGGATTGTTGCCATATTTGGTTTGGAATGACTTGAGTAGTTCACCCTGGAGGTTGAAAAGATTCATTATTTTTCCTTTCCACATGTCCAGGCCCCGGGATCATGAAGCAGACTTAGACTTATGTCAAAATTTTAAATTACTATAAAATCTTTAAAACTTCTTAAAGGAAACTCATAATTTGCATACAACAGCAGACTGATGATACAAAATCGGAAAGCATTTTCATTTTTGTTTGCTTGACCTCTAAAAAATTTCAGCATCTAAAACATTTTTTGACTTTAGCTTAAGATGCTTCATGATCCCGGGGCCAGATCTCTACATCACTGAGACAGGTACTAAGGTAGCACTATATAGTATTCTATACCCTATGCGTATGGTGCTCATAAGCTCTGGTTCATAAAACAGTGGTTTGCCTGTAGGACAGGACATGGCGGCTTCCGTTTTATTCATAGTGTAGTGAGGCCTTTCTTTTGTAATGAATATAGCTGACAAAGAACCAAACATTTGATGAAGCTGTTCTGTGTTAATTCGATAAGGAGAGAAAATTGGCAATGAAACATTCATTTTAGTAGGGAAACTTCTGAATGCATCATTCCTAGATCTGTAAGCGTAAGCAGAGGTTAGGGAGACACCATTAGATTTCAGTATCTTTTTTAAATCAAGAATACTCTGTTTTACATCAAAGATGATTTGTTTAATTTCCTTTCCCTGTTTATTTAGAACCGATAAGTGTTTCTTTTCATCTCCTCAATTTCAGATTTCTGTTTGTTGTCTTTGATGTTAATTTTTCTGTGCCACTCTTCTCCTTGTTTGGTGACAGATGTTTTCAGTTTCTCATAATTATTTTTGAGGTTTTCTTTCTCGGTATTTAAGTCTAATGTAATGTCATCGTAAACAGGACAGATTTGTTTTAATTTCTAATTTTTCCAAATCATTTTATAAATCCTTTTGTTTCGAACTTATTTTTTCTAGAACATCCGTAAATTTATGTCCATGGTGTTTATCAGAAGAGATGCAGACAGTACAGACAGGAATGTCGCATTTCTCACAGTGAAGATCACAATGTTTCGTTGAATGGTTTGGACAGTCTGGGAAATTATAGATATAGAGGTTCTGTGTTTGTATGGTACAACATTGTGTCTTTGGGATGAATCAGAGAGATGCTCCACTACACAGGCTTTACACAGGCTAATTTGACAAAGTTCACAATGACTCTGTAGTGCTGCTCTGGCCAGGGGGTCCATAATAATCTTTTCCTTAATGATAAAGGTTAGATGGCTCTATAAAACAAATAAAATATGTCAAGCATATCACTTTGTTCAGCAGCAAATCAGCTGCAGCAGTCTCGTTTAGAGTCATCATTTCCTAAGTTTTATAGCCGATACAATGACCAATTTATTTTTGATTCAACTGACTGATGTTTTTCGTACTAATTGTTAGTCCATTATTTATACACTAAACTGACCAAGTTTTTTCTAGTTATTTCCCAGTCATGACAAGGAGAAAATGGCGGGTATGACCTGTCGGCAGGAAAAGCTCACTCCTCCATGGTACCTGTTCCAACTTCTGATGCTTCGGAGATTCATGTTTGCTCTGATCCTATTTTGTATTGTTTACAGGACTTTTGAGTTGGAATACTGTTAGTTATCTCCACATGTTTTGTTCAGTATTTTATTATTTATTCTTGTCACAATTTAAATAACACAAGGATACTAATTGTGCTTAAAACCAATAGAGGCATTTCGTTCTTCTTTGAATTTCAATCGATTTTTCAAAATTAAATAGAAATTAAATTTCACGAAAAGAGAAGAAATTCTACTGTTACCAGTTTTCAAGGAGTATGGATACATGTAACAACATTTTAAATTACGAGGCCTAGGGGTGATCAAAAAGTTAAACGAACAAAAAGCGAACTTATTGAATTTCTTCCAAAAAAGAATTTTTACAGAGTTTCAGTGTTTAAAATGTTTCAAAGTAGTTAAAATGTTTCAAAATAGTCCTTATCAATTTTAATGCGCATCTGCAACCATGCGCGGATCACGTGATATAGGCGCTCACGTGACATGCTCCTTCGAGTTCTGTCACAGAAGCTTTAACTTTTTGTCGACTCTTATATTTCTTACCATGCTAGTTATTTTTTGCAACAAAAACAGTCCATTTATCAGAAATGGCCCTATTTTTAAAAAATAGTAGGGGCTGAAAATGATATCCTTTTGCAGAATTAGCATGGTGACCATCAAAACCCAATCCTCTGCCTTTTGAGTGCCGTTTATTTTATGTGGATAAATTATGGCTGCCTTCACGTTATCATATCTGATATGTTTATAGCCTAACGTAAACGATATTTAAGGGATATGATATTTAAATTATTGTAAAGATATTCATCTATTTTTCTAACTGAATGTTGGCGATCTTTCATTTCAAATTGCTTATCAAAGGACACGTCTCTTTCCCAGTTTGCTTTCACTGGGCAACAGAATAAACATGATTTTTAAACACCTCCCTTCCTTCACTTTTAAACAATCAATCCCATTATTGACAACACTTCTGGCAAGTCTGTTGTCTTCACAAACTGTCTACAAATTATTATAAACTTCTACATAGGAATGTCCAAGATATACGTTTAACTTTACAGCCTTCCGTTTTTCGAATACGACTGAGTCATCCATGTTTTGTCACAAGTGATCCACATTATGACGTCATTGACATTGTAACGTCACAAACACGGGGCAACACGCTCCTTTACATATGCTATTTATAGAACGTGTGTATGTTTCTGCGTGTTTCAAATTTCATTCTGATCTGAATCGTGATTTTGTAAATACAGAGATAGGTCGCGAACTTTTTGATCACCCCTCGTATAACAGCAGGCTTAGCGTCAAAAATCCAATCTTTGAAGAATTAATTTAAATGGTAATATCAAAGATATATACTCCAGTAGTGTTGGATGAAAAATAAATATAAAACGTTAAATTTCTAAATTATTGAAAACCCTTTAATTATCAAAGTCTCAGGTTGAATAATGTAATGCATTTGATATCCCACGTTTCTACATCTTATATTTCTTATTAAATTTTGTTAACATCAAAAACCTTTCAGGGGTAATAACTCATGTATAACTCCTAAATTGCCCTCTTTGCTGAATAGAATTTATATTATCTTCTAAATATTATATTTAAGCTTTAATTGTTTATATAAGTAAACAATCAATGTGAAAAGCATCAACATGTTATTTTCTACCACATTGCGATATTACAAGTATTGGAAATAACCAAAATTCTTGTTTATTTTTAACACATTTTTTCATCATAGATTAGTAATAGAAAAAAGTTATTGCCATAACTACCGGGGTATCACATATAAAATAATTAAAAGAAAAGAAAGAATTATTACGTTTCCTTTCCCTGTTGCGTGACATACACTCTCTAGAACCATATCCTAATTAGGTATTATATAGCAAGCGCAAGCGAGCTCAATAGACTAACGTGTATGAACAGAGGAAATTCGGATTGAATTCTGTACATACGTCAGCCAAATTTCTCTGTACAACATTCCTAGAATTCCTGCACTACCCAATGTCCTTTGCGTGAATAAATAAAAAAAAAATAAAAAATTAAAGGAACATTGTTTCTAACCGAAATCTTAACGAAATGATTTTGCCTTACCTTATTCAAAAAAATACCCCCATGCCACAACACCGGCCTTTACCTTGCCTTTCGGAAATGATACAAATGACGTCACCGAAAACTTACGAATTTTGACGAAGTTATGTCGGTTATTTCCGTGAAACTCGGCTAAAACATAGCAACAACTTACATGAAAAGAACGATTTAATGCAATCTCTTTTCCATTAAACTAGCTTTTGCGTTCTAAGTCAACAGAACTTTTTATCTCATTCTGACGTCAGACTTTTGTCACTTCAACGGTTCGGGTATTTCCGATTTTGTCGGAAACTTCCGAGAATTTTCGAATCTTGATCCCGATGCTTGGGAAATGATATCTTTTTGTTGTTTTGTTTTATTCTTTTTGCTATCTTTTTCTTGAATGATAGACACTACATGTGTAGGTTTATGATAGTAAATAAACTGCGCTCGCCCCAACGGTCACACCGTAAAACATATTATAGCAATATACTAAAGTGGACTGCAGTAGGGAAAACTTTATTCTGACTATCCAATAGTATGATTAAACAAGAGGCTCAGGGGCCCTATAGGTCACCTGAGTATTATGTAACTTTCCAGAAATTGAATTCGGTTTGTCTTGCTGGTTCACCATTCATGATAGCTCAGTAGGTAGAGCGCTCGCTCCGTGATCGAGTGGTCGTGAGGGTAGACAGACTACTTGGCCCAACGACACCTCGGCCCGTGCTGGTTGACACCTCGGCCCTGACAGGTCGGCTCAAAATCATAGACTTTGTTGTTATTACAATGCAACATTATACATTATCAATATTTATTAGCCATTTTAAAAAAAATGTTTGGTTGCCCTCTCCGGACTGACTGACTAAAATTGTCCACTGCAGTCCATTGTACCTTAGAATTTATTAATAATAACGTGCAAACAAATCGGTGTACATGTACACAGAAGTTTATGTCATTGTCCACAAGATTGATTGATTTGTTTATTTTTGATACATATATATATATATATTTTACTGTTTGGTTTTAAAAACTCATATTTTTTTCAAATCAATTCAATAAAATATAACAATGGTTTCTTAAAAGCTGGAACTATTTATTAACAGCTTCACGTAATAAACTCCTCATAGTCACCACCCCCTATGACATGCGCTCTAAACTTCAAAGGATGCACTGCGTGTTCTTGATTGTTTGTTTATTAATAAGCACTTATAATCAAGTTACTAATGGATTGTTTTTCTTTAATTACCGTCAAATTGCCGTTTTGGAAGATTGCAAATGTATCAAATTAATTTTCTTTTGCATTTCATAGATATATATCAGCATAAATAGTAAATATATCTAATTTAAATGAAATATTTTTGTTTGGGCCGAGCAGTCTTTTATGTGAGCCGAGCTGTCTTTAAATTTGGGCCGAGCCGTCGGAGC